ATGGATTTCTAAAACTCTTACCAAGACAAGTTGAATTGTACTCTATTTTCTTCAGATGTCCTTTCTCGCAAGAATCCTGAATGAAAGATCCACAGACTTTTCAGTCTCATCTCCTTGGCACATTCAGCATTTGTTTTCATCTTGTCATTTTTTGTGGCTAAAGTGTTGTTTTCACTTTCAAAGGAAGGAATCAGATAGCTAAAGATGCCTTGCAAAATCATGTTTGACTAATGCTTTGCTATTGTGTTACAAAGCCAGCATGCAAGGGAAGGGAGACAAAGGCCCATGAAAGTCCTTATACATGTAATGGAGTGTCTGAAGAAAGACAGATATTGGGAATAAGTGTAGCATATAAATCTCATTACTTCTATCCTGCAGGGGAATTGCTGTGAGTCACTTCTGTTGCAAAGTAGAACTGTGACTAGATTAACAAAAGGTCTAAGATTTTTTCTGCATCTCTGTCAGCTTAAAATTTGCCTGATCAAAGAAGAAGTGAGAAGATTTTACCACAGCAGTGTCTTAAAATTGGAATGCTTTATCCTTCAAAATAATTGAGGCATCTCATTATTTCTCTCCCTTTTGTTGTTTTGGTTATTTTATCTGTTATCCCTTATAAGCCTGCCAACCACATAAAGTTGCTTTCTCTATCTGGCAAAGTTCTTACATTGCCAATTGCAGTTCTATTCACTGAACAGGCTTTTTGTGATAATAAATACAGGAAAAATAAAGAGCAAAGAATGTGGTCTTCATATATTAGGAATCAACTGGGAAGCACTATCTTTCAGGTGTAGACCAGAGCAAATGTTCCCAATATGCGGTTCCCCCTAATATGTCCAATTTATAAGGAATGTAGTATACCATTTTAGATAAAATGGAATGATGAACAACATTGACACAGGATGTTACACTACCTGAAATGGAGTCCCTTTCATCTTTGGATAGGACCAATGGTTTCAATCATCTTACTGCAATATTGAGACATGAATCCAAACCTACAGTATTCACATCCATTAGATAACAACGAAAGAAACTTGTATATTATATTAAATATCATTTTAAAGCTCCTTTGCAGTACTACAATACTTAACTTTCTAAAATATCTGTTTTATAACCATGTTGTTGAAAGACGCTATTTATAACAAGTTTCTTGTCTTAATAACAACAGCAAAAACCAAGATACTTGGTATTTTTTATTTGAATAATGATGATGATTTATTAAAAGTGTATGCCAGCTCAATTCCAAGCAGCTCTATATTATTATTAAAGTGATGTATACTTAGTTCAAGGCAGATAACATTAACCAAAAGACAGGTCTACCAAGAAGCAATTAATTTAATACCTATTTCAAGATATCCCACTCATCAATAGCCTCAAAATGTTCTACAGAGCATTTAGGATTTGAATAGCTTTCTAAAGACTAAGAAGTTTGGATGTTTTGGAAGGCAAGATGTTTCAAAGGACAAGGGTAGCAAAAAGAAGATATATGATAGGCCCCTCACTCCCATCATTTCATGAGAAATGGATCATGTCCACAAGTTTTCTCTTAAAGATGCAAGAAGCTGACTAAATAGAAGATAACAACTTTTAAGGTCCCAGGTTCAGAAACTGTTAGAAAACAAAAGTACCCTTCAAGTCCTGGGAAGGCAGAGAGCATTAAGAAGAGACTCAAATGACTCGTCCCTCACTCACTGGAGTATAACAAGGAAGGGGAAAAAAGCACACTCAAATTTGCAAGATTCTGTAATTATACCCTACAAACACCTAAAATGGTTACTGTTATTAATTATTAAACATTTAAATCATAAAAGACTATAAAAACAAAGCAAGAACAAAGAATTACCAAACAAAGGAATAATAATGGAACCATCAAGTTGTGACCAGGAGAACCTTTGCACAGCTTTGGTTTGTGCACCAGCTGCAGCCTTCCCAGGATTTGTTCTTTGAAGAAAAAAAATGAAAACAATTTCTTTCTAATAGAATCAGCATGATTAAAAACAATTTTGTACAGTAATTCCCAAAGCAAAATTCTAGGCCCAGAGACAAATTGTGATGTTGGCAGATTTTGAAAGATCCTCTGGTCATCTCTAAGTAAGGGATGTAAATAGACCTTTTATATTATTGGACTTTATACAGGAAAGGTAGATCTCCTAATAATTCATCTTTCTTCATTCATTTGCCACAAAAATATAATTATTCAGGTACAATTAGTTCAAATAGTTGTAATCCACTGGAAAAAAAAGTCTTATTGTCTGTTTCTGTTCTCCTTTATGGCTCTAGCCTCATGCCTAGAGAATGAAAGCCACTAGCAATTATATTATGTTTTTCAGGAAAATCATCCTTAATCTAATTAGAGACAGCCTTGTCAAATAAAGTAGAGGAAGACAGAAATTAGCTTTACTTGTACAAATGAGTTCTGACACTTTCAAATATCAGCCACAAATGTTTTCATGCAGAGTTGCTATCAGGTTAAAAAGAGCGAGTGACATATAATTTCTCAGAATTTTTCTTCCCAATTAATGGTAGAAATAACAGCTATTGTGACTGGTAGTATTACAGGCTTGATTAATGTTCATAAATGCTAAATAAATATTTTGAAAAATATAATACCTTCTGCTATCCATAAATGTGGACAATTTCTAAGATGAGCGACAAGTGGGCTTTCAATAACTGCTTTTACCACAAATAGAAAAGAAATGATATTCAATATTTCTGGTCTAATTTGTTGTTTTTTTAAAAAAAATCTGTAATAACAAAAATGTTATACTCTTCTTTGCTTTCCGTCTGAAACTTAAGATATATTTGATCCCTACTCACTGAACTGTATTATTGTATTGCTGATTCTGTAATTATAAAACACGTGCTGAAACAAGCTGATATAAAAATCCTTTGAAATCATAAAGAATATATTCAGACCATTGATTTAACAAATTTTTCTCCCATCTATGATCATGCCAGCATCATTTGCTCCTCATAGCCACTCCTTAGTCTGACTTGGCAGTGTTACTATCTTAATAGTTCACAGTAAGGAAAATTAGGATGTGACTATTAATTTCTGCCAGTGAGACACCCATAAATCATTCTCCTTAATGTAGGCTGGGGATGGATGAGGAAAGAGTGGCAGGCTTCATCTGCAGCATGGGATCTTTCCATTTTTGTTTTACTGGAATGCTTAGTTCATCATACGTGTGGTACATGTGTGGTACAAGATCTTCAGATGATCTGTGTGCTGCAGGGGTGGTTTCCTGCCAGTTCTAACCTCTTCTATAGAAGAGGTTCCACAAATTTACAGTGCCGTTTAGAACCGGTTCCAGCTCCCTCCCCCCGGCCGTCCGCACATCATCAAGATGAAGAGCAAGAGGAGGAATTCTGGGCGTTGAAGTCCACAAGTCTTAAAGCTGTCGAGTTTGAACACCCCTGGGTTTTTTTTTCTAAAGGGCTAGGGGTGCAAGGGTCTTGTAACTTGACAGCTTTAAGACTTGCGTGCTTCAAATGCCAGAGTTCCTGAGCCAACATTTTGGTTGATAAGCAAGAGCGTTGTTAAGTGAGTTTAATCACATTTTACAAGTTGGCCACGCCCACCCAGTCACATGACTGCCAAGCCAGTCCCACCCGGTCATATGACTAGCAAGCCACTCCCACCTGGTCACATGGCCAGCAAGCCACTCACACAAAGTAGTCCACACCTACAGAAGAGGTTCTAAAATTTTTTGAAACCCACCACTGATGTGCTGGATAGGCAGTTGGATTGTTAGATCAAGGATAGTGTGGTAAAGGCCTGCACTGTCCTGCTCCACAAAATGGCCTCCCTTCTAGGACATTTGTTTTTTCATTTGTTGGCCAACTGGCTTAAAAAAACAAAAATGCCATGGTTGATGGGTAAATTGCAGGGCAGAGGGAGCAGCAGTATATAACCTATTAAAAGCAGCCAATAGGCTCCAGGAAGATCCCAGCCCTGCTACATCCTCCCCAAGGTCACAGCTAAAAATACTGCACATAGTATTTGTAGCAAGTATTATATTGGAGAAGATGGCAAACTTACCTAATCAGAAATTTCACAAATTGGGCAGAGCCACTTATCATTTGGATGGGTGAAAGGGGGTAAGGCTGAGCATCTTCAAGCGGAAGTTAAGGGAACAGGTGCTTTTCTCAAGAATCATTCATTGAAAATTCAGGTGAGGTTTTATAGTAGTAGACCTTTTGATCAATGTGCCGAAATCATAAACGAGGTATAGATTTTTTTTAAAAAAAGAAAATAGAATTAGCAATTACAAATCTGTATTTTACTGATTTTTAAATTGGCCGTTTGCTCATTTTTTACTATAAGGCTTCTAAAAGTCATTGGAATATAAGTATGTCCTAATGCTAATTTGCCCTTAACATTTTTTCAAGTTTCCTTGTGATGCTAAATATGTTATTTGATTGAGAAGAGATTCAACAAGATGAAAATATAAATAACTAAAAAGTTTATCTTCCAATAATCTTAAAATAAAGCAATTCTTGAATACAAGATACAAGAATGCAAAGTAACATAGTCCGGCACCTATGTTTTTACTTATTGACTTGTTTTAATCATAGCTGAATGAGTCACAGTATCTGTATTCATACTGTTGCTGTTTACCATGATTTGTTGAACAAACCTCAAGTATATGAGTTGGATAATATCCTAAATCATGGTTTATAATCTACAATGGAGGAATTTGGACAACACAATAAGTAAAATCAAACTAACCATATTATGATTTAACCTTCTTTTAATCTACAAGGCCACACGGCTGACTCCCGATGATCAGTTTGCAGCATTTGTTTTGAAAGAATGTAGAATTGGTTTACCATTGTTAACTCCCCCCCTCCCCAATTTTCCATTTGGAATAACAATTGGAACATACCAAATCTGATTTTAGAATTATGACTGTAAGGAACTATTATTTGGGAGAATGTGCTTGTAGCTGACAAATGTTAAGCTTTTTCTTTTTACTAGCAGTTTTCCCTATTTGCTTTAGAATTATCAAGAGGCTTCTACGTTGGAACAATTTGTGACTCGCTTCTTGTTAAAAGAAACCCTGAATCAACTACAGTCTCTACATAATTCCCTGGAATGTGCCATGGAAACCACGGAAGAACAAACCCAACAACAGCAGTAGGATTCTTTCTATTGTGTCACAGTGGCAGCATGGTAGAAATTATTTTAGGAAAGCTGCTATGGACCAATGTCTTGCTCAATTAATTTAGAAAATGACACTTTACTAGTACTTCTACAAAATAAAACCTGCCCCGAGATTTGTAGTTAGATTGCTTGAAAGTATCTGAGGCCCACAATTTATTCCCTAACTATTCCTTCTATTTCAAGACTCTTTCTTTTCAATGAATCCATATCCAGGTAGTGATTTCAAGGGAGCTCTTGTGTTGATGAGCTGTTCTTTTTTCTGGAGCTTTCTATCTCATTGCTTGGTCCCAGTGATCCTTCATGATTCTCATTCTCGCTAGAGGACTTTAGGCAGGCATTCTCAACCTTCCTTGCAGTACTATTGTTATGGGAACATATAAAAGGAAAGAATCCTATCTTGACCTCCTTGCTCAAGATTGGATAAAAATAAAACTATAAATGTAATAACTATATTGGGGTATGTTACTTTTTATATAATCATGTTGTCTCAATACAGAAATAATGTTATCTAGGTCTGTATTCTTGTTGCTGGTTTTGTTTTCAACTTGCCTTGTTTTTATTTTGATAACCAGTGTATTTAGGATCAATTTTGTGATAGCCATAAACAATAATGAGAAAGTTTAACGAGGTTTGTCTATGTAAAGGGTTGCAAATAGATTAAAAATACAAATAATTTAAATACTGAACAGCTTTATGTGTTTTTTTTTCCCTAAAGGCAAGTCCCAAAGAAGCCAGAGGTGCTCAAAATACAACCCCCAGGAAGACGTTCAGGTCGAAGGTTCCAGAGAAATAATAGTTTTTCTCCAGTTAGTCCTCTTTTGAACCCAGGTAATATTGTTTTAACATTTACCATTGTTTATTCATGCAAGTAAGACATCATATAAAATTAATGAAGAAATAAATTTCATTTTTTAAAATGGATATAATCAATCATTTTATATTCTGATCATTTTTAATATTTATATTATTTGTGTACAGTACTGGCTTTACATCTGCCAGATATCTGCAACAAACTTTAAACATCTTGCAGGGCTTAAAATATTTCAATGTATTTGAATTATAATAGTTAGATATACATCTTACGTAATATATTCAGAAACAAATATATTGTATGCAAAATAATTTGAAGTAGCCACTTATATTCATCCTGATAACCCACTGTGATGAAAAGGCCATTTCCACCTTTGTGGTCTGTTTTTATTATAGTTGGATGTGGAGAACATATAAAGTATCTCTCCACTTCTGAACAATTGGCAAGGTGATGCAAGCCTCTTGTTGACTTTATGAAGGAATTTTCTCTCTTCTCACTAATACTCACTTTAGCAGACCCTAGCCTTGGCTGCTCTCAAAAATTAAACAAAATTGATCCTGGGTAGAATTTAGATGAGAAACTATTTTTGAATTTTAAACTGCTATGAAGTGTTTTAAATAAGAAGTGGTTTATGTGTCTGCATAAATAATAAATTCCAAGATTACTGGTGACAAAGGGGAGTTTAAGAAACAGAATAAAATAGCAGACCATGAAATGGCTGCCCAAATTTTTTTTAGAGGGCTTGAATTAAACTTGCAGTCATATTTATCTTTACTAATATTTATTTGGGGAGGTGCAGCAAATTTGGTGCAGTGCAAGCAATCTATGAAGAATGAGGTCTACATTTGCAAAAGAAAGCAGCAGTAGAAAGATTTAAATCAAGACAGAATCAACATGGGATTTATACTTTACTTGCACCACTTGTCCAGTGAAACAAAAACTCCCTTCCCTCGCCAAGAAACAATACATAGGTGTCATAAAAGTTTGTCTTATTAAGCAAGTACAATCTTCAATAATGTTTTCAATTCAGGTATGTATGTTTTACAAAGGTTTGCACAAGAAGGACAACCAGTGGATGTCTCAAATAAACAGACTTCAGAAGCTGATTGATAAGCTAGAACAGAAGGTATGCATGACTATTTCATTAATCCCTCTTTGCTACTGGAAGCTTCTGTAAGAAATGGGATTCATTCAGTATTTAAGGTTTCTTTTTTAAAAATCTCTAAAGTTTATTTTGTTCTAAAAAGAGGAAACATTGATGCGTACTCTTTATAGACACCCTTCATTCCACTAATTGTTTTGTATATTTTCACTAAACCAAAAAGCAGCACAGTACAGGGCACGTCCATTTCTCCAGCACTTAAGGAGTCTGTTCATCTACTTATTGATAGGGCAACTTTCCAATCACAGAATATAACGGAATCTAATTTTGTGTGGTGAGAGAAGCTGACAAAAGAAAGATCTAGTTTGAATATGATGTGCATTAGAACAGGGGTTCTGACTTAATTTTTTTTTAAAGGAAGAAATGAAGTTTTATTTAAGAAATAAAAAAGTTCAAGAAAAGCCACAACTGTATCAGGAAAAAAAATACAAATATAACTATTCTTTGCCATTAAGCAGGTACACAACAAAAACTAGTATATTACAAAAAGTACACAGTGAATTCAGAGCAAATTAAGACATATTCTTGCTCTCTTAATATCTTTATTGCTTTTCATCATAGAGTAGGTAAAGTTTTATTGATAATTAAATAACATGCATAAAGGAAGTTCCAGGAGACACGATGTATTGCTTTTGAGAGAAAAGATCCATCTTGATTGTCCAGGATATACTTATTTTTAATCTGTATTTTTAAAAAGTGATATTTTACAAGTAGATTATCTTCTAATCTACCACCCATTGCAAATCCTATTTTACTGTAGATTTGACCAGCTGAAATTATTAATGTATCACCATCTGCCAACATATTTCATCTACTATCTGCTGATTGCTTTATCATTGCAGCAACCATAGTTCTTAATGTTTGCCATGTGGACCATGTTCAACCAATTCCAGACAAAACTAGTTTTTAATTCTGAAACAAAGGAAATACACTGACCATAAAAATGGGCTTTTATGGTCAGCCATAAATCAGAAGAGGGGCTTTAGATGGCAGGATATGATGCTCTCTTGGCATAGTCTTGTGTTGAAATGATCTGATGGTAGAAATATTTGCAACTATTCTAGCAACCTTCATAGATGTATTTTTCTTAAAATGAATCCCTTCATACACAAACTATTGCATCCAATAGAGGACAATGCTAGACTGTTTCCCCAAGAAGAGGAAATAATTTATTCAATACCCTTAAATTCCACTCCATTTTTATATATTTTCTATCAAAATAGATTAGGAATCACAGTATTAGTGATTTTTAAATTATTATCGAAGATAGTCAAAGTACTAGATAAACCTTAACACTTTTGTATTGCCCTTTTATTGGTTGACAAGGACTTAAAGCTCGAGCCACTAGAAGAGGAGGTTTCAGAAGATAATACTAAATCTGTAAGTAATCTTTCCCAACTCCACTCCATGGATTCCATATGAATGGAAAAGCAGAAGAAAGAGTTCTAAATCTGTTCTGGGACTTTCTAAGGCTGGCGTCTTCTGTTCAATCCACAATCTTTTGTGGCACTTGTTTCTAATAAGGCTTTCTAGAAACATGATCCAAGAATCACACGTTAATTTATTTACACATTGCTCTACTGCACTCAAACATAAAAAACTTTGGTTTTGCTTTATCACTTGACCTTTGGAGCTGGGTTCAGACTTAGTCATTCATTGGTTGATCCATTTTAAAACTAACAAAAGGATTGAATATTTCCTATGATAGCTGTTTACCTTGTCACTTTGTGTGCATTCTAGCTTAATAAACTGCTTTAAAAGTCCAGACAAACATACATCAGAAGTAAACTTTAGAAGCATTTTTACATGTTTAATGCATAAAGCAATATAGCATGTGAAAAAGAAACTCAGAATTGTTAATATAAAAAAAATCTTTAGGTGGGAAAAAGGCTGACATATTGAGTGGACCCAGAATAATGTGGCTGTTCTGACCTAGGCTTCCTGATACAGTAAAAAGCACCCGCTTAGTCCCCAAAACCCTCTTTTTATTTCAAAGGCTGTGAATTGTGTTCGTTTACAGCCTGTAATGAATCCCAAATAGTTGTAGAGTCCTACAGTAGGCTGCTAAAGTCTTTTGGGATAAGGCTGATAAGCACGCACCTTTATCTTCCTTGAAACACTGCCAGACTTAATTGGTAATTAACTAGGCAAGGCCACACGGAGTAAAGAGTCAAAGCGGAGCTTCAGAACATAAACTGACCAGCATGAATCAAGTTGCTTCCCGCAAAGGCTCACATGCCTTTGCTCCTCCTTTATGTCCTGTGGGAGGGGCCAATCACCTTCAAGCCTTACTCCCAAGTTGTCTCTTCTGTCTTAACTGTTCTTGCCTTCTGGTAGCTCTGCGCATGCACGCACTGGGAACAGGGGAAGTCTGTTCTTCTGCCTTGCTCTTGGTCCGACTCTGGAGGTTCCAGAGGCAGCACATAACTCCCAGATGGCCCTGACCCCTCTCTGCCTCTGCCCTCATCTGAGCCTTCCCCAGACTCCAGGACTGGCTCATGTTCCTCCCCAACCTATCTGACTTTGCTGCCAGCTTCATAGGCCAGAAGCGGACAACAACAGTGGCTGGGGTTGCATGGAAAAACTGGAAAAACAATCTCAGAATAAACTTTAAAAATAAAAAAAGATAATTTGATGACAGTAGTTAATGTCAATTAATCGGATTGCACTACTGTTTTGCCAGCAAATAATGATTGTTCAACGTCAGATGTCAGTAATCACAGAAGAACTAGAGCCGTTCCGCTTCGCTCTAAAGCAGTACGTAGATATGGCCTCTTCTCAGGATGGATGTCTGCAGTGAGTATATTATTCTCAAGGGATGGAAGAATTCAGGTCATTATATTATAGAGAGATTGCACTTTGGGAGACACTGGAAATCACCATTAAAGAACATTTATAAATATCCTAGGCTGACTAATTCAGCAAATGCAGTATTGCTATTATATTGTTCTCTTGGAATTATAAATGTCACAGTGGGCCATAGTAAATGTCAGGCCATAGTAACCTAGGACAGCAGCCATTAATAAGATAGAAGAGGAAATCTTTATTTTCTTTGGAATAAATCTGGTTGAATAGAGTGGCCTTATTCCTCAGACGTGTCATCTACAACACTTTTACTAGAAGCTATTATCCAAGTGAGAAAATAATTAACATCAGTGATCTGATGAAGATACAGAAAACTAAAAGAATTTCCATTTAATCTTATGTATTATTTTCCATGTATATGGTGCCCTCTGCTGGCAATTCTCAAATTTGACATTTTGTTGTAATTAAATAGTTGAACATAAGACATGACTATTTCAATTTCATTCAGCTGAGGGCCAAATATCCAAGGAAATAAGTTTTCCTACAAATATTTCCAATTAAATAAGGAATTATGTCCTCCCAGAGATACATCTTGTGTATTTTCTAGGTATCAGATTATGAATTCCCATTAATAAGATTTTGGCAGGTTAGATTCAATGCTTTTTTTCTTTTTCCAAAAACTAACAGTCCTTCACTTTTTAAGTGTCAATGAAAATAATTATTTTTTTTTTTTTTT